TTGAGAGACAGAGCAAGAGAGAGCAGGGGGAGGAGCAGAGGGAGAGGGACAAGCAGACTCTATGCTGAGCATGGAGCCCAATACAGGGCTCAATCTCATGATTCTGAGATCATGACTCAGATCATGACCTGAGCTGAAATCAAGTCAGACACTCAAACAATTGAGCCACCCAGGCACCCCTATGTAAAGCAATTAAAAAAAAAAAAAGAAGAAGAAGAACATGAGAAGAATCTACCCGTTTTTAAGACTGTATGGTATTGGCAAAGGGATAAATACATAGATCAATGGAACAGAACAGAGAACTCAGAAATAGACCCACACAAAGGGTCAAAGGTAATTTAATGGAGGAATAGAGGGAAAATAAACTTTAACAAATAGTGCTGGAGCAGCAACTGGACATCTATAGGCCAAGAACAACACAAGGAAGAAAAGAAAAAGAAAAAAAATTAACCTTAAGTACCTTACAAAATTTAACTTGGATCATGGGCTTAAATGAAACTATAAAACTATAACTTAAACTATAACTGAAACTATAAAACTATATGACTATAACATAAAACTATAAAACTTTAAGGGAAAAAAGGAGAAAAAATTTGAAATCTAGGGTTTGTCAAAGAGTTCTTAGATTTAATACAAAAAGCATGATTTACACAAGGAAAAATTGATAAACTAAACTTCATCAAAACTAAAACCCTTTGCTTTGTGAAGGATCCTATTAAGAGAATGAAAAGACAAGCTGGGAGTGGAAGAAAATATTTACAAACCACATATCTGACAAAGGACTGGTATCTAGAATATATAAAGAACTCTCAAAACTCAATAGTAAAAAAGCAAACAATCCACTTAGAAAATGAACAAGAGGTGTAAGGAGACAGTTCACCCAAAAGGAGATAACAGATGGCAAATAAGCACATGAAAAGTTATCCGACATCATTAGCAAATTAAAACCACCATGATATATCACTATCACTACATACCTATCAGAATGGCTAAAATAAAACATTGTGACAGCATCAAATGCTGATGCGGATGCTGTGAAGCTGGATTACTCATACATTGATGCTGGGAATGTAAAATGATACATCCACTCTGGAAAACAATTTGGCAGTTTCTTAAAAAATTAAACATATGGCTCAGTCAGTTGACTGTAGGACTGACTCTTGGTTCTGGCTCAGGTCATGATCTTGTGGGTCCTGAGATGGACCCATGGATCAGACTCTGCTCAGCGGGGAGTCTGCTTGAAGATTCTCTCCCTCTGCCCCTCCTCCTACTCTCTCACTCTTTCAAATAAATAAATCTTAAAAAAAAAGAAAGAAAGAAAGAAAGGAAAAGAAACTAAACTAAAATATGTGGGGCACCTGGGTGGCTTAGTCAATCAAGTGTCTGACTTTTGATTTTGGCTCAGGTCATGACCTCAGGTTATGAGATGGAGCTCTGTTGCGCTCTGTGCTAAGCATGAAGCCTACCTACTTAAGAGTCTCTCTCTCCCTCTCTCTCTGCCCTTTCCCCCACCTCTCTCCCTCTCTCCCTCTCTTAAAAAAAAAAAAAGCTAAACATGACCTTGTGGTTGCACTCCTGGACATTTATGATGTTCACGTTATAAACCTGTATGTGTATGTCCACAGCAGCTTTATTCATAATAGTCCCAAATTGGAAAAACCGAGATGTCCTTCAACATGTGAATGGTTAAACAAACTGTGGTAATCTATGTGGTGATGCAATGAAATACAACTCAACAATAAAAGGGAAAGGACTATTGATACATGCAATGACCTTAAATGTCCAGAGAATTATGCTGACTGAACAAAACCAATCCCCAAATGTCACATATGGTAGGCTCCTATTTATTTGTTTATAAAGATTTTATTTATTATTTGAGATAGAGAGTGAGAAAGAGAGCACAAGCCAGGCGGCAAAAGAAGCTCAAGCTCTGCACTCTCCTAACAGGGAGCCTGATGCAGGACTTTATCCTAGGATCCCAGGATCATGACCTGAGCCAAAGGCAGACACTTAACAAACTGAGCCACCCAGGCTACCTAAGCCACCTTGTCTGCCTCTTTTTTTTTTTTTTTAAGATTTTATTTATTCATTCATGAAACACACACACACACAGAGACAGACAGAGAGAGAGAGAGAGAGAGAGAGAGAGAGAGGCAGAGGGAGAAGCAGGCCCCACGCAGGGAGGCTGATGAGCCTGAGCCTGAAGTGGGACTGGATCCCGGGTCTCCAGGATCACGCCCTGGGCCGCAGGCGGTGCTAAACCGCTGAGCCCCCCGGGCTGCCTTGTCTGCCTCTTTTTATATAACATTCTTGAAATGATAAATTATAGAAATGGAGAACAGATTAGTGTTTGCCAGTGACTAAAGAGGAAGCGGTATGGTATAATAGGCAACATGAGGGATCTTTATAATGTTGGAAATGTTCTGTATCTTGACTGTGTCAGTGCCAACACCCTGGTTGTAATTACACTGTAGTTCTGGAATATGTTAATCCTGGGAGAAATTGGGTTAAGGGTAAATGGATCTCTCTGCATTATTTCTAACAGCTGCATGTGAATTTGTAATGATCTCAAAATAAAGAATTTAATGGAAAACAATATGTATTTTTTAAGGTGATGGAATTAGCAAATAACAGGAGACTATTAAAAATGACCAAGAAAACTAGAAATAGAACCAAAATGCTTAGAAAATAAATATATTGTGGGGCACCTGGGAGACTCAGTGATTGGGTGTCTGCCTTTGGCTCGGGTCGCAGTCCTGGGGTCCGATCCAGTCCTGCATCAGGCTCCCTGTGGGGAGCCTGTTTCTCCCTCTGCTTATGTCTCTGCCTCTCTCTCTGTGTCTCTCATGAATAAATAAATAAAATCTTTTTTAAAAAGATTGTAGGGATCCCTGGGTGGCGCAGCGGTTTGGCGCCTGCCTTTGGCCCAGGGCGCGATCCTGGAGACCCGGGCTCGAATCCCACGTCAGGCTCCCGGTGCATGGAGCCTGCTTCTCCCTCTGCATTCTCTCTCTCTCTCTCTCTCTCTCTCTCTCTGTGACTATCATAAATAAAGAAAAAAAATTTAAAAAATAAATAAATAAATAAAAAGATTGTAAATACATTGTTAAAATTAATGGCGTATTGGTCTCCTATGGCTGCTGTAATAAGTTACTGCAAATTTAGTGGCTTAAAACAACACATATTTATTTTCTTATATTTCTGGAGGTCAGAAATCTGAATTAGTCTCACCGTGCCAAAATCAAGTGTCAGCAAGACTGTTCTTTCGGAGGCTCTACGGAAGAACCCAATTTGTTGCCTTTTTTCTTCTAGGAACCACCACAGTCCTTGGCTTAGAACCCCATTCCTCCATCTTCAGAGGCAGCAGCATCAGGCCAAATCCTTTCCTGCTTACCATCTCTGATTCTTCTTTTTCTGCCTCCCTCTTCCACTCATAAGGGCCCTTATAACTACACTGGGCTCACCCGGATAATCCACCACAATTTTCCCATCACAAGGTGAGCTGATTACCACCCTGAATTCCATCTGCTACTTTAATTCTGCTTTGCGATATTCACATTTTCCAGGTATAGGCCATGGACATCATGGGGGGGAAGGTATTAATTGCTCTGCCTACCACAGATGGGTTAAAGAGCAGATTCAAATATTTGCAAAATAATTAATGAATGGAAAGACAGAAATGAAGAGGTTACTCAGAATGGAGCCAAAGAAACAGGATATATAAAATATGAGAGTTTAAAAGTTATGGAACATAAAATTCAGAATCCTAGAATAAAAGAGAATCTTTCTAATTTTTCTACCAGAGGTTAATATAAGGGTAAATGGAAAGAATTAGTATCTTTATTGTCTTCATTTTGGTGTATCTCATCAATTTTACATTGATAAAGTTTTACTTTTGAGTTTGAACATACTTTTCTCAGAAGGCAACCTTTGATAGGAACTTAAATATTCTTGAGCATTTGCGGTCACAGGCTGAATGCATTTTAGTGTGAATGACAACACGCGATAGAATCAGTATGCCTTATGTAGACTTTCCCCGTTTAAAAGGTTTATACATATTTTATTGGGGAAATTTATTGAATATGTATTTGGTTGGGGGAAATCACGGATTCACGTAAACGGTATAAGATGTGCAGCCAAGAACAGATTTAAGAACAGGAAGAAAAGCTTAGATTTGTAAAAGTATAAATCGAAGTAAATGCTCTGTTGCAACAAGTTTGATTACTTTGAGAAGCTTTTCCTCCAGGCACACGGGTTCCATTTTAACAAGAGTTTCACCGACTTCGACTCTGGTTGCAGGATCTGGGATGGTACTTTTATTTTTTAAATTTATTTTTAAAATTTTTAAAGATTTTATTTATCTATTCATGCGAGACACTCAGAGGGGGCAGAGACCCAGGCGGAGGGAGATGCAGGCTCCTCGCAGGGAGCCCGACGCGGGACTCGATCCCTGGACCCCGGCGTCAGGACCTGAGCCGAAGGCCACTGGACCACTGAGCCACCCGGGTGCCCCCTGGGGGGTGCTTTGGAGAGGCCTGGCCCGGGCTCTCGGCCGCCGCGGCCGGCCTGGCGGGGAGAGTTCCCGAGCGCGTCGCTCCCGAGCGTGCTCTCCCGCGGGCTCACCCGGCCCTGCGCGGAGCGCCCCTCGCGCCCCTCGCGCCCCCCGCCCCTCTCCGCGCCCCGCGTGTCCCCACCTCCCGCCAGCCCGGCCCAAGCGCAGACCCCGCCTCGGCCGCCTGGCACCGCCTCCCCCTGCGCACCGCCAGCAAGGGCGCGTGGGCGCGGCCGCCGGTGCCCTCCCGGCCAGTTCCCGTTCCGGGCCGGGGCCCAGCCGCTCCCGCCCTAAGCCTCCCGCCGCCGCCGCCCGCGCCGCGAGCTCCCCGGGTCAACGCGCTTGGGGGGGGTCTCCGCGCTTGGGGGGTCTCCGCGCTCCGAGGTCTCCGCGCTTGGGGGGGGTCTCCGCGCTCCCGGGTCTCTGCGCTTGGGGGGGGGGTCTCCACGCTCCGAGGTCTCCGCGTTCCCGGGGGGGTCTCCACGCTCCGGGGTCTCCGCGTTCCCGGGGGTGTCTCCGCGCTCCGAGGTCTCCGCGCTTGGGGGGGTGTCTCCGCGCTCCGGGGGTCTCCGTGCTTGGGGGGGGGTGTCTCCACGCTCCGGGGGTCTCCGCGCTTGGGGGGGTGTCTCCGCGCTCCGAGGTCTCCGCGCTCCCGGGGGTTCTCCGCGCTCCGGGGCTCTCCGCGCTCCTGGGGGGGGGGGGAGTCTCCGCGCTCCGAGGTCTCCGCGCTCCCGGGGGTTCTCCGCGCTCCGGGGGTCTCCGCGCTCCGGGTCTCGCTCTGGGTCCCAGCTGCTTCGAGGTCTGCACGGGACGAACCCAGGTAAGTTTCAGCGACGCGCGATGGTTCGCACGGGGAAGAGGTTTCCCAGGGGCCCCGGGCGCCGCGAGCGAGGAGGCGCAGAGAGGAGGGGGCGGGTTTGTGGGCGCAGCGCGAAGCTCCCCGGGCAGAGCTCCGGGTGGAACCGGGAGGAGAAATGCAGAAAAAGTTCAGACGGATGAACTTCAGTGTCTGCGGGATCATCGATCCTTGGGGAATTGGGGAATTTTCTAAATCCTTCCGGCAGCTTAGAAGGCCCCGGTCTTACATCAGAGTCCGGGGGAGGGTGGGGGGGACCCAGGCCTCAATTGCGTTTAAATTCCCCAGGTGATGCCCAGGGTTGGGAAGGGAAGGCGGGCGGGCGGGCCGACCCGACCCCCGACGGGGACCCGCCGCAGACGGACCCGGTGCACCCCGCGCTGCGCGGCCCCGGGGCGGCAGGGGCTTCGCTCGGGCTGGGCTGTGCGCGCCGCCCCGAGGGGAATGGGACTTGCGGGTTCAGAACCTCAGCTATTCCGCACGCTGTGAAAACTCGGGCTGCCGGCGCCTTATGACCCCCGCTTGGTTCTGCCTTCTGGTAAATGGCTCCATTGTTGCATTTGAAATGAAGTTGGGGGAAATCAGTAAACTCGAGGCCTTGACACTTGTGGGTGATCTGCTTTAAGGGTGAGGCCGGCTGTGCTTGCCACAGGGCTGGGTTTGTCCCCCTTGCTAAAAGCCCCCATCCGGCTTAGGCCCTATCCAGCCAAGGGTACCTGGACTGCGAATGTCTGAGAGGGGCGGTTTTCACAGGAGGGACCCCTCTTCACCCTGGGAGAGATGCTGGGGGCAAGTAGCTACCAACCCAGAAGCAGGGACATTGCACAAGACACAGACTTCTACCACATGTGCAGGGCAGATAAAGGAAAAAAAAAAAAAAGCTGGATTTGAAACAAACAACATCCAAGAGGTAGAAGAAAGGACTCTCAAAGGTTTTAAGAAGAAAGAGTACATTTAATTTTTGTGGGGAAAGAAGTTCAGAGGTTTGGAGTCCCATCAAACCTGGACCCAAATTCAGATTCTCTCACTTCTGTGATATGTGACCATAGATAAGTCACCTGAAAACTGGGACTAGAAATGCTAACTGTCCTGGGCTTAATATAGTTAAATGAGATAACGTGTGCCTGGCAGGGCAGGTGGCACATGGCAGGTGCACTGTGAGTGGTGGTTATTTGTGTCTGACAATTTTCTTAGTACAGACATGATGTGGGGGTGGATGGGGGTTGTCCAAAATTGTCTCCCTCAATACTCTGTAACCCAGCTCTTCTCCTGCCCCTTGGGCCTCTGGGTGCTTTGAGGTCTAGACATTCCAGCCTCCAGTTCCTCCCACCTCCTGCCCCCAGGGCTAGTTGATGGTTCTGGAATATGGCTCACTCTGAATGATGGGAATGCATTTTTTAATTTTTTTAAAAGGATTTTTGATTTATTCATTTGAGACAGAGAAAGAGAAAACACAAAAGAAGGTGAGAGAGGCAGAGGGAAGAAGGAGAAGCAGACTCCCAGCTGAGCCGGGAGCCAGACACAGGGCTCAATCCCAGGACCCCGAGATCATGACTTGAGCTGAAGGCAGATATACATCTGAGCCACGCAAGTGCCCTGGGGAATGAATTTCTTGGTAAAAGAAAGCAGTCCTTCATCTTGAGACATCTCCACCCCACTGCCACATATATAAAAAATGGGCTTCCAAGAAAACTGGGCTGTTTATAGGGTCTCAGGATTGATGTGGGCACACATGTGGCTCTCCTGTTGGCAGCGTCCCCACCCTACACCTGGGCTGCTCCTGTTTTGCCTCTGACTCTTGGCCTAGGGACAATTAACCGTTCTTCAATGACCAAGAACAGTCAGGAATTTGGGGAAGGGGGATTCAGATCCTATAATTGTCATGCCAATATCCCAGATGAACCTGTCACCCAGAAACCTGCTGTGTTTGTCAGTGATGATCAGGGTCACTTACAGTAACAGCAGCACTCTTTAGATATTAGTAACATAAACAGTGATGTCATGTAAAGAAGATCAGTGTTTCATGGTATATGTGCAATCACTGATTTTTACTTACACGAGGATATCAAATTCTTTTTTTTATCTGAAGAGAAGAGTTCAATATTTCTTCAAAACCTGAGACCTAAGACTAGGGTTTGAGGTTTAAGTTACTGGTTTATTTTACCATTCTCTTTTTGGGGAGGATTTTAGGCAAGATGAAATTGGAGAAGCTAAAATTTGTACTTGTGCTGAATTTTTGTCATGCAGAAGCTGTAGATATTTTGCATGTTTCTGGAAGTCCTGTTTTCTTTTATTGTCCGGACAAAGTCAGTTGTGTGCCACACAAAGGGCCTCCTTTCATCCATCCACAAGTCTGAACTTGTTTGGAGGAAAAGCCTTTGGTGCATCAACTGCTCATTGAGGGCAAGCGTTTTTTCCAAACTTGCCTTTTATATAAGAAGTGAGTAGTCACTGCCATTCAGTTGATTTATGGTTTATTTTTTAAAATATTTATTTACTCATGAGAGACTCACAGAGAGAGGCAGAGACATAGGCAGAGGGAGAAGCAGGCTCCCCGCAGGGAACCTGATATGGGACTTGATCCCGGGACTCCAGGATCATTACCTGAGCCAAAGGCAGATGCTCAGGGCACCTGGGTGGCTCAGTGGTGCCACTTAGGACTTTGGCTGAGTAGTCCTTTTCCTCTAAATTATAGAAAACTATAGTTTAAAGGACTGATAAATAGGTCCTAAATTATCATAAGGGTCCAGGAAATTGCAAAGTGAGCACCAGATTAAGCACCAGGTTTTAGTAGGTATTTTAATTTATTTTATTTTGTTTTGTTTTTTATTTATTTTTTTGTAGGCTCCATGCCCATTGTGGAGCCCAGCATGGGGCTTGAACTCACAACTCCAAGATCAAAGCCTGAGCTGATATCAAGAGTCAGGCCCTTAACCGACTAAGCCACCCAGACATCCCTAGTAGGTTGATATTTTAATAAAACATGAAAACTCACCACATTCTGTTTGTTTCAGGATGTTGGTAGTTGCCTTCTTTCTGTGTCTTCATCACCAGGCAGGTAAGAGGCAGTAAATAGTTGTGACGATTTGTAGGTATTTTCAGAGCCACATGCAACCGGGTAGGACAGTGCATTGCTAGGGAAAATCCTTCCATGGCAAGAGCTGTGAGCAGATGATGATTTACTTGAAAAAATATTTGTGCTGTTCTAATTTTCAAAAAATCAAAGTCTCATGACTAAGAACTTTCTGTGTGCATCCCCCAGTTGCTACCTATGACCCCAAACTAAACCTTCTAGAAGGAACTTGGTGGAAAGGTAGGCTTTTCTTTGGGGATACCCTTACTTCGTATAGTTCATGACAGTGGGCTCTTTCGTTGGGATGGAGGCACTCAGGGACCCACCCCATTTATCAAGGGAGTGTTTTGTTTTACTTTTAATATGAATTCAGGCATGTCAGCGGTTTTGAGCTGAGGTAGGAGATCGTAACAAATATAGACAGGCAGGACGAAAATGGAGGAGACTGTGGTTTTGGGGTCAGAACTGAGCTCGGGCCCCTGCTTGGTTCCTTAACTGTGTGACCTCAGCCAAGATACTTAACCTCTGGGACCCTGTGTCCTCCTTTGTCAAATACTTAAAAGCATGCTTTCTTTACAGAGCGGTTTTGAGTATTTGGTGAGGTAGTTGATGGAAAGTGCTTAGCGCACCCCCTGGCTTTCAGGAAACGGTAATTGCTCCGATGCTGCTGCTGAAGATTGCTTGGGTTGGAGTGCTGGTCTTGCCCTCTCGGAGCTGTGTGGCTTTGGATAAGGTGTCTGACACTCATGAGCCTCAGTGTTTGTATCTGTAAAATGGGGATAACTCTACCTACCTCTGTGGAAGGATTGATTTGAGGCCTGATGAGATGATGATGCATCTGATCGGTGGACCCTAAATAAAAGCAAACAGGTACATCGATTTACTTTCACAGCCCTGAGCCAGTAGCCCTCTGCGCTAGTTATCATTTCCCCCATTTTACAGATGAGATGACTAAGGCTTAGTGAGATGAAATAACTAGCTCGAAGGCAACAGAGAGTCAATGCTGCACCCAGGATTTGAAGCAGACCCCACTGAACCAGAGGTCCAGGAGCACCCCTCCCTCTGCTCACCTCCTCCTTGTTTCCACACCCGCCTTCTGTAATTGGCCGGCAGATGTGATTATGCTCTTGGAAGGGCTCTGTTTCTGGACGCAGGGCCCCAGCTTCCAAACAACTGTCTGCTTAAGAAGTGAAAGTAAGACTCCTCCCCCACCCCAGATTTGCAGCTTTTAAATCTCGACTGTGGCTTCCACTGGCTGAACTAGTGGGTGGTGATGGGTGTGGTGGGGTTGGGGGAGCCCTGATACTCACATTGATGACTGTTACCAGAATGGGTTATGATGTTTATTTTGAGAAAAACGTCATCTCGGTGCACTGAGATTGCGAGCCTGGGTGTAATAAAACCTACCTTCCCCCGGACAGGTGTGTATGATACCCGGGGAGACAGAAACCAGGCCTGGAAGTTCCAGATGGGGTTCAGGCAGGAGGACACAACAGTATTTAAAGAACATTCCCCTCCCACCCCAAAGTGCCAGGCCTGTTCCAAGTAGATTGCCTTTTTTTTTTTTTTTTTATTTCCTACTCATCTTCTCTCTTCTGGACACCTCAGCAGCTTTTGCCTCTTTGGGGGATCTGGCAATCTCCCGAGAGGCCTGAGCCAGTGAAACTTGGGCCCAGATAAGCAAATTCTCCACTGAGTGAACTGTGGATGCTCTCGCCTTTCAGATAATGAGGTGGCAATTGTTTTTCTGGCTTTCCCCTGGGTGTGAAGCGCTCTGCTGGCTCCCCAGCCTGGTGTTGAGGGCTGTTAGGAAGCTATTTGTAGCTCCCGGTTCCTCCTGGCTCACTGGGGCTTCGGTTCTTCAATGTATTTATTCAACAAGTATTATCAG